AATTTTGGTCTATTGGTTGAGTGCATTTCAGTTAGGGATGCAGCAAACCCCATGGTGACTGCATTCAAAAATCAAACTCACTGTGTTCAAGCATACCAATCAGACATAAACCAATCATTGAGCCTTTGGGGTTCGGCAGCAAATGAGACAAATGCTTGCTGAACAAGTTTGCCCCAGGCTTGGAAAAAACTGCATGCACAAAAAGGGTGCTGATCCAAAGAGATCAGCAGCCAGTAACATTGCTAAGGACTACTTAGACACTGAATGGTAGGATAGCTTTTTAAATCATAGGATTTATAAGATTCATTAATGATTTCACCCTATATTGAAATAATTACCTGCCAAGTGGACCAGCAGGAAAGCAAGGAAAGAGGGGAAGAAGAATTCCATTAGACAGTATGAGAATATGCATTCATGGGGGGGGGGGCCCTACGGCACAACGGCACGGCTGACACTTGGAATTTCTCCCAGGTGTCACCGGCTCTTTCTTCTTTTTAGAGGCGTTTTCGTGGGATCCCAAGCTCCACTGGACCTTCTGGAGGAAGGACGAGTGCAAGGGACTTGATCTGGGGGACCCGTTTGCAGCAAAAACGGGTGGTAGACCTGGATCGTCCAGAAGCAAAGAACGAAGCAGCACAGTTATGGCAGCCATAACTGTATCAGTTGTGTATGCCCTGGAACCACGAGAGTAAGCTGAACCTCATCCGAGACATCGATGAAGATACTACACTGTAAGTAACTGGAAACACAACATAGAAGAAGCGTAACTTGTCCTTTAAGCCTCTTTAAATGATAAAAGGACTTGGGAAGGAGGGTGAGACTCCCCCCCTCTTCCCTTGCGGAGCCGCCGATTTACATAAAGAAACCTGAGTGAGACACACCTTGGGGCAAAAAAAGACTCTTGTTTGAGCTTTTATAAAAGAACTTTAGAGCTTTTCTAAAAAAAGAAGGAACAAAAAAGAGTTAACTGAAGTTTGATTCTCTTACTGTGTGGCGACTTTTGATGACGTTATGCCTTAGTGTTGGGAACGGATGAGCTTGTTATGTCTAGTATTTCCAGTGGGATCTAAGCAGTGGATTTGTATTGAAGAATCCCTATTGCCAATATAAATACTAGAGACTGTGGATCTTGCCAAGTTCCTTGACACAGTTTTAAAAATGGAGGATCAGGATTTAAAAAGTAAAATGCCAGACAATGTGTCCTTGAGTAGCTCCTTGGAAAACAACCAGCTACAAATGTCCTGGGAGGAGCTTAGGGACAGGATGGTGATCGATCCTACCCTCGCTTTTAAGAATGCACTAAAAACTGCAATGGATGAACTAGCTGTAACATTGAGTCAAACTATAAACCAGATAATGGAACTTCAGCAGCAAACAAAGCAAGAAGAAGAACAGCCCCAGCTACAAATTATGCAAGCAACAGGGGAGCATTACAAGCAACTGGATGTAACTTATAAAGTAAAGGATCTTCAACACTCCAAAATGCTAGATGCAGAACAAATCTACAATCAAGATGACCAAATCTATAAAATGAAAAACAGACTGACTAAAAGCTTGTTAAACCTTGGAATCCTCCAAGCCACACTTCAAAGAGGAGATGAAACAGAAGTGAAGAAAAACAGATCTACCTAAAGACTAGCAAATCTTGGAATCCTCCAAGCTACAATTCAAAGAGAAGAGGAAACAAACACTGGGAACCTTAACCACCTTAAAATTTGACAATAGAGGGCGATTGCCAAAAGAGACCCCCTCTACCTATAAAGAACAAAGACACAGATGGATGATTTTATTAAAAAGAAGGAATTATAAAAAGAAGAGAAGAATACAGTTTTTAAAATAAGACAGATCCAGAGAATCTGTGTTTTGGTATAATTGACTAAGATGGGCTAGGGGAAATTGTATTTGTAATTACAAATCAAATTTACTTTTGGGTTTTAGGCATTTACAAAGTATAGCCTACAGTAAAAATTTGGGAAGATTGTAAGATTTGTTGAAAGATTTTTATAAACAGAAGATATATTGTATATTTTTTAAAAAATAAAATAAAAAGGAGGGAACTAGAATACAAATGTTTATTTGAACAAAATTGGTTAGAGAAGGATGTTTAGGAAAGAAAAATAACATGGAAATGCAGAGAATGTATTCATAAAAGTATTATAATGATTAGAATAAAGTTAGCATAGAGAACTTTATTGTAGAAGCTTAAACAGGAGAGAACTTGTTATTAATAGAAATGAAATTTGTAGATTGGGGTGATTGTGTTATTTTAAGATATATGCATAGTTAGACCTATAGAATAGAGTTATAAAAAAGCTGGATTGCAAAACACAGAGGTGCAAAAATAAAAGTACCTGTTGGGGTGAAAAGTGGTTTATAAACACATGTACAAGGGTAATTTAAGAGATATGATGAAGCTATTATTACTCGCATGTATGTCTGTTTGTCTGTATTTTATTATTTATTAAAATAAAAATGTATTTTTAAAAAAGAGAATATGCATTCATGAAAAGCTGATTGCATTTTGCTGCACTGCTAGGAATGAACACAGTGAAGCAACCTGTCGAACAGCACAAATGGGTTGGCAAACAAATAGATAATTCATCAAAAAACCAGCTCCCCATTAATAAATGGTGGACAGGACACAATCAGTGGGTGTTCAAGCAGCCCTAATGGTTATCCCAGTGGCATACCAAGGGCAGGGAGGGGGGTGCATTCCGCCAGGGTGCAGCTTGAGGAAGGCCCTTGAAGTAGGGCCCTTGAAGTCAGCGTCATGCTGCATCCAGCCTAACAGCCGCCACCGAAAAAGCCCTGGCCCTAGTTGCCACCAGTCTGGCCTCCTTAAAGCTTGGGGGGAGGGGCAGCCGGTTCTGGGTCCCCGATCGCAGTGTCCTTTGGGGAACATATGGGGAAAGGTGGTCCCTTAGGTATGCCGGACCCTGGCCATAAAGGGCTTTAAAGTTCAAAACCAGTTCCTTGAAGCGCACCCAGTTTGCTATAGGAAGCCAGTGCAACGTCTTTAGCACAGGTTGGATGTGGTCCCAAATCGGGATTCCCATCAACAACCTGGCCATGGCGTTTTGCACCAGCTGCAGCTTCCAGATTTGCGACAAGGGCAGCCCCATGTAGAGGGCATTACAGTAATCCAATCTCAAGGTGACCATTGCATGGATCACTGTTGCCAGGTCATTGCGTTCAAGGAAGGGAACTAACTGCCTAATCAGCCAAAGGTGGTAAAACGCCGACCTGGCAGTAGCTGCTACCTGGGCCTCCGTTGTTAAAGAGGCATCCAGGAACACTCCCAGACTCCTAACCTCCGGCGCTGGCACGAGTGGTGCCCCGTTGAAGGTCGGGAGTGGGATCCCTACCCTTGGACCGCTCTGACTCAGGCACAGGACCTCTGTCTTCATCAGATTCAATTTCATCCGGCTCAGCCTAAGCCAACCCGCCACGGCTTGTAATGCCGGGCCTAGATCTTCCGGTTTGGATTCAGACCGGCCGTCCTGCAACAGATAGAGCTGGGTGTCATCTGCATATTGGTGACAACCCAGCCCATGCCTCCGGGCAATCTGGGCAAGAGGGCGCATATAGATGTTAAAAAGCATCAGGGACAGGACTGCCCCTTGAGGCACTCCACATTCCAATGGGTGCCTTCGGGATAGTTGATCCCCCAGCGCCACTCTCTGTCCCAGATCTTGGAGAAAGGAGACAAGCCACTGCAAGGCTAGTCCCTGAACTCCAATGTCGGCAAGGCAGTGGGTCAGTAGCTGATGGTCGACCATATCAAACGTGGCCGACAGATCTAACAACAGCAGCACTGCTGATCCGCCCCAATCTAGGTGCCTCCGGAGGTCATCTGTGAGGGTGACCAGTGCTGTCTCCATCCTATGGCCTGGGCGGAAGCCGGACTGGAAGGGATCGAAAATGGAAGTGTCATCCAGAAAGCCCTGTAGCTGCATCGCCACTGCCCTCTCTATTATCTTGCCCAAATAGGGCAAGTTGGAAACCGGTTGATAGTTAGCCAAATTGGCCAGATCCAAGGATGGCTTTTTCAAGAGCCACTGCCTCCTTAACTGCCTCAGGAAACAGTCCCTCAGAGAGGGAAATTCAGTTCTGGCTGCAGCCACTAGGGGCACAGGGATGTTTGAGCACAGCAAAAAGCACTCTAGGATCAGCAAGACTTCCCTTTCTCCAAGACCAAAGCAAACTTACTTAACAGATCATACAACCAAGCCAACATGCTAATTGCTGCTACAATAATTGCCATTCTGCAGGTCAATTTCTCCAATAGTCTAGCCTTTCTCTCTTCCTTTCCTTACACCCAGCTCAGCCAGACCTTGCAAAGTAGTAGTTAGGGTGTGGCAGCAAGATAAAACAATCTTTCCCTCTCTTAATTTCTCTCCCTCTATTCCACACTTTTCTTATTCATTTCTGTCTCCCTTCACCTAATGTTTCTGTCCACCCCCTATTTTCACTTCTTGATGTCAAGACCTTTTTATCCCTATCCTGCTTGGTGACAAAATGTATTTAAGAGTACTATAGTAGCAAACCTTTTTTTAATATTATGAACAGAAGGCACTGGGTTTGTTGGGCCCTTACATTGCCCTGGTTCTGCTGGGCTTCCAACCCCCCCCCCCCGGACTGTGATTCTGTGCTTGAAATCAGTGGGCATTGCCACTATGGCACTAGGTTTGCTGGGCACTGTACATTCCACTGGTTCTGTTGGGCTTCCAACCCCCACCATTTGACTGTGATTCTGTACTTGAAATCAGTGGGCATTGCCACAATGGCACTGGGTTTGCTGGGCACTGTACATTCCACTGGTTCTGTTGGCCTTCCAACCCCAACACCTTCATTGGACTGTGATTCTGTGCTTGACATCAGGTGGCATTCCTTGTGTCATTCCTGCAATGGCACTGGGTTCTGCTAAGCATTCTGTGATTGCACTGCTACTGCTGGGTACTCTGTACATTGCACTGGTTCTGCTGGGCTTGCAAAAATGCCCCCCATCTTCAAGTTCTACTGCAGAAATTCTCTGATTTGACTCTTGAAATCTTATTCCCTGAAATTTTTTTTGGTCTCTAAGGTGCATTTATTTTATTTTATTTTTTTAAATCCCCGGAGGGATTTTTTTTATTTTGCAAATACTACAAAAACTACAAAGAAATATTAGGGAAGGGACTACAACTAAGGATAAAGGAAAGCAAACCACACTAAACTAAAACCCCAAGAGGAGATCTTTTCACTGTTAGTAAAAATGTTAGTACAATTAGTTTTAATATCACAATATACTTGTAGAGTTCTTGCTTATAACAATTCGTTATTTATATGTTTGTTTGTTTTTTGAGCCTCCGGAGGGGATTTTTTTATTGATTTTTTTAACACTACAAAAAACTACAACAGAAAAGGGGGAGGGGAAAACTACATATAAGGGAGAAAGTAAAGAACCCACTACTGACTAAAAACCCAAGAGAGGAGATCCTCTAACTAGCTTTTTTTTTAGCATCCAAACTTATCATCTTTGTACTTCTTATGAACTGTGTCAAACTTTTAGAATTTTTAACCCTCCCCATTTACATTTAATTGCCCAAGAACAGTGCCCCCCATCATCCCCTGGAACCAAAGTTCTCAAAGGCACAATTCAGAGTCCTTCAG